CGAACAGCGGTCAGCCGGCGCCCGGCGCGCAGAGGCACACAGACAGACAGCTCGGCGGCAGCGCGCAGCCGGCGGCTAGCTACGGGCCGTCCGCGGGCCGCGGCACACCACTGAAGGCCGACTCAGTCCACGGGACACACGGGACGGCGGCTGGGGAGAGGGGGGACAGGGGGACTCAGGGAGAGAGGGGGAGCTGCGGTGGAGCAGGACGCTTCCAGACAAAAGGCTGCATAAAACGAAAAAGAAGAGAAAGTCAGAAGGCAATAAAATAACACAATGGAAAATGGGATGCCAGAATTTGTGCTGACGCCCAAATTAAAAAAAAAAAGAATAAGAGAAAGGATTCCCGCGTGGGACGGCAGACGCACACTACCAATACGACAGAGGCTGCGAAGTCATCGGTGTGCTGTTGACACAGAGATCCACAAACGTAACGCACATTGGAATAAAATGGGGTGGCTAGTGATAGTTTATGTCGAAGAACAACACTCCCTCCTCATGGACAAGGGACACGTCCTGCCACCGATAAAATAATATGCTGCATACTCCACATGAGAATGGCATGCAACATTGAACACAATGTTTAAAACGCATGTTATTAACTAAAATTAAACCATCGTCCATCAGTAATTGTTTCACAACGCCCAAAAACCACCAGGTATTTGGCACCGGTTAAGAGGATCTGTGGAGTCACTGTTGCTTCCAGACTACGACAAAACGAAGTATTAACTCATTGAGCAGCCCCAATATGTGGCTGCTCTTTCTCAGAAATGGAATGGCCACCTCTCAAATCAAAGGTCACTTCAATTTGGACCAAAAGCATACCAAAAGCATAACTTTTCACGCAATTAGCGCATTAGGCAGAGCGCCAAAATGTTCCAAATGTTTTCTGAACACAACATCAACAGTATTATCTGTAAGGTCTGGTTTCCATTCGTTCTATCTGCGAAAAGCAGGCCCTGCAGAGCTCACTGCGCAATGCTCATCAACTGCAAAAGTACCGATCGGGCACACTAGTGCCACCTGCCGGTTCGAGCTACGGCCACCTACAGGTGCAGCGAGAGTGCAGGCCGGGCCGCCCAGACAGGCGGCGCCGGCCGGGTACCTGGCACGCCGAGCAACAGCAGAGGCATGATGGCGCGGAGCTCTGGGCCATGCTCGCTGGCAATGTGGGAGTGCCACGAGGTCCGCCGTTCGCAGCGCGGCGACACAGCCATGAAAGCTGGCGCGCACACACACCAGACCGGTCACACGTCCGGTCCGCACACGGCTCTGTGCCCTCCCCCCCCCCCCGCACTTCACACACTGGGGGCGGGGTGGCCAGTGCCGGTCAAAGGGCAAAAATGGCCGGCGGGAAAAATATTTACAGGATTCGGGGCATGAACAGTCCGCGGGTTACAGGATCAGGGACGGCCAAGCTGAAAAAACATAACCCAAAACGGCAGGCATCAGCGAGCAAATGGGGCTCATGCTAGCTGGGGAAAGACCACCGAAGTTCAGTTCATCACGGCTGAAGAAATTAAATAAATGAAAACCAATCCAGCCACTGGCCTGTCGTATGTGCGTGCAAGCGGCCCAACTTAAAAGAGCAGCCAAAGAACAAAACGTCCTTAAAAAGCGACGGGATAGAGGCAAGAAGAACAAGCGCAAACGTCCATATGCTTCCACTAAATTAACGTGTGAGACAATTTGTAGTGACATTTCAGCAAAAGTTTAGGTGGCGAGCCAAAACTTTTGAACGGGAAGCTTTTATGAAGCTTCAGCCGCCTTCTAGCTAAAGCTTGTCAACATTTACTTCCTTTTTTGCCAAATTATGTCGATAATTTTGGCAAATTCAGCCAATTTTGTAATGTCAGCTGCAGGAAACAATTTGAAAAGCAATTTTCCTCACGTTCTGCTTTTCCGTCCGTCTGTTGGCCATCGCACCAACGCCTGCATCTACCGCATTACTCCACACTCCCGACTAATGAGCCATACCATATCAGCTATTTCTACCAGCGGCGGCAGACTATGTCCGACCCCATCGCTCGCTCGTAGCCAGCTGCCCTCATCTCGCCACATATCGCCGTTCATATATCTCGAATAACGTCGGCACCGTTCCCGAAAAAGCCACTGACCAGACACAATTAAGTGCCGCTACGCTATATGAAGATCACAGTGGGTCAGAACCTCTCCCACACGGGAGAAGCTCCGACACAGGGGCGCCTGAAAAAGAACCCTTAGGCCACCGCCACAGTCATAAAATAGTGATGAGAGTCATTGCACCCGGCATTCGACCTAAGGATCTTAGAACATCAGAGCAGGTCATTTCAGTGCCGACACCACACAGATCGGACAAGGCGATGAGGGGCAGAACGGGGCGGGGCGGGGCGGGGCAGGGAGGGACCATGTCCGTTTCAGGTAGGGTCGGGGCGGGTCACAGGTCACAGGGTGACGAGGTCACGTGTCATATCTGTCCGTACTTTTGGCGTTGGAGTAGGAGCGCCCGATGTCGGCCAGGGAGCGGATGAGCGGGAGACGCGCCACGCTGCCGCCCACTGAGCTGCCGTCAGACGCCTTCTTCCGGTCGTGCAGATGCTTGTGACGACGCAGCAGCGCCTCCCGAAACTGAAACACGGGTCAACATGGTAACTGGGGGCCGATCGAGGTCGGGGCCGCGGAACACGGAGCCGCCGATACGGGTCAATAGTGGGCGGGGGAAGGAGAGAGGTGGTTACCGGGGAAGCCGCGGCCCCTGGAGGACAGCACGGGTCACTGAAGGTCACTGGATGGCAGCAGAGGTCGGGGCGCACAGCTCAGCCCAGCCGACTTCAGAGGGTCAGTTCGGGCACTTGGTGATAGCACGCTAAAATAGTTGGCAGACGTTTAACTGCGGATGGAAAACATTACGAAACGGGCGTCGCAGGCCAACGGCGCCGCGGCCGCTGCCAGGGCGAATGGCCACTATCACATGCCGACATCAAATTAGAACGAATGCCGTGCCCCGGCATCACGCCTTTCATCATCCTCGATATCATTAACATGAATACAATACTGTCATGCCTACTTCGACAACCCTTACGAGCTTGTTACCTTTGTACCAGTTTGTTATTCTAACATCAAAACCGTAAAAACAAACAACAAGCTCCTGGCAGCACCCGCTTCACATCTCGCCTAACATCTGTACAACACTCCTCCTCCCTGTCTCCCTCCCCGACTATCGGGCGCGTCCATCACCTGCTCCCGCTTGTCGTAGGTGATGGCGCCCGAGTTGATGAGGTTGTCCAGTAGTAGGTCCGCGATGTGCTCCAGTGACGTGGCCTCCATATCCAGCATCACGGTGCCGTTCAGGATCAGCGACCTCAGCTCGAACAGCGAGTGCAGCGACAGCGTGCCCACGTGCGGCTTGGACCAGCGGTTGCCGCCCTCCTCGACGTCCTCCTCGAACTTCACCCACCTGTGGGGACGGGGGGGAGTCAGAGTGGGCCCACAACAGTAACCGGGTGAGGAGGAGGGTAGAGGGAGTCAGAGCGAGTCAGAGCTGGCCAGAGAAGGTTTTTTTCTACAGCATGTGTTCGGAAACGCTGGGGATAGGCATTGGCATATGAACAGGCGCGGGTTGGCGGATGGTACTTGAATTCAATTACGTGACCTCGTATTGTGCTTTCTGTTTTCGTTTCAAAAGCTCGTATCAAAGGTTGTGGCAGGGACAACATAAGACGGAAAGTCAAATGACAACAAAAACAGTGTAATTACCCATCAACATCACACCTTGACGTAGGAAGAGCAAATAAGGCCTGACCTCGGTGAATTTCTTTTCACGCAAATTACCGTGATTCGAAAATCGGCAGCGTAAACATTTCTGGGGAAGTTGCCAACGGCTTTTCCTTCTATTTGAATACCTTAAAACCGCACCGAGTGCACTAACCAGTGATGAATACACAATAGCGAGACGATAAGCAGCCAATCCTCTTTGTGAAACACACTGGGGCTAATTTTTTTTCGGGGGTAGGAACCAAAAATGTCACGACGGTCGTGTATGCAGATTGCGAAACAATAGATGAATGCCAGAAAACTCGTCCATCCGCACGACAAGAAGCCAGGCAGTTTGCAGCAGTGGATTGTTTGTAACGAACTCGGCCAACATCAGCCAAACGCCACATAGTTAGGTATGTGTGTGTAAGACACATATTACAGAAATGAAGCTGCAGCAACGCTAACGCCGTATCACGATACATTTAAATCCCATGAGCTCTTCACAGAGGAATTCGACGGACAGACATCGGCCGCGTGACACGACTAAAAATCGGGTAACGGTCTGCCCATGAACGGCCGGCGAAGGTGAGCGAAAAATCCCGCCGCCAGTCCGCCGAGGCGCTCTGACAATTTCCTTTGACGCGCACCGCCGGCCGCTGGCATGTTGATGAGTCAATAACCAAATAGAGCGCGCCGCGGCGGGCGGCCAGTGCCCAGTTGCCGCCGCGCCCGTTCCCATTTTAGGACTGAACTATCCTCGTTTCTGGCCAAATTGCACGGCAGGTGCGCGTGATAGGTTCGGTGAAAGTCGGTCGGTGTCACCGACTCACCGCGCGCGCCGTGACCTTCCTTGTGCATCATCAAATTCTATGAACAGGTTCAACATACTCCCAGGAGCTCTGCATTCGATGCGGCTTTATGAGTAATTACTGCGTGACCTTATTTCGATATAAAAACGGAAACATAACTGAGTTACAGCATTGCAGTCGCCAGTCACACAGTTGCAAGGTCTACCTACTTTTAGATGCAAAAGATCGCACCACAAACTGACCCTGATCTCCTCACTGACCTCTCAGTCCCCCACTGACCTGACCGTCTCCTCACTGACATCGCCATGCCCTACTGACCTGTCTCCTCCCTATTCGGACCGCCTCCCATTGACCTGACCTGACCTCCCCACTGACCTGACCTGGCCGTCTCCTTCCACTCAATACTGACCTTGCCGTCTCCTTCCACTCCATCTGCCCGCCGTCGGCCTCACACAGCGTCTCCATCTCGGAGAAGAGCGGGTGCGGCTCCAGACCACTGCCCTCCGCATCCTCCTCGCCCAGGATGAACTGGACACGCTGTGACGGCGGAGTGACTGCAGGTGTAGGTGGGGAGCGGGTCAGAGAGAGGGAGAGACACACACACGGCGCCCCCGAGAGGCTATCTAGTGCACACACGGCCGGCAGAGGCTGTCACACACATGGGAGGACACCGAAACTCCGGCTCACAGGGAGAAATGCTGAGAGTGGGGGGGGGGGGGTGCTCAAACTGAAATGTATAATGAAATGTGACACATAGCATTTGTTGCAATCAATCGACATATATGAGTGTTTAACAACAAAATGTGTAACTGATCTGCACAAAGGTAACGACGCATTGCTTTCAGTGTCCAAACTCAACAAATGCAGGTGCTTGAAGACGTGACACACCTATTCTATACATAGAGTGCTTTGAAAAAGAACCACATGCACATTGCACACAACATCACTGTTAATCTGGTATATAAAAATGCTGACAAGACAAAATTGGCGGGATTCTGTAAATTAGCATTGCTGAACACAATTATTTACGGTGTTCATTGAATGCCACACAGCAAGCTGAAGGGACTTAAAGTGTAATTTACGGTTAATTGCGCTCAATAGCACAATCACCACTCGGTCACACCACTCGGACTATAAGCTTTGCCTCCTTTCACAGGGACTTCAGCGGCCAGTATGGGGATGAAGAAGGTGGCCCCGTGAAGCAGCTGAGAGTAATTGGTAACGTTCGACCGACGTCGGCTGGTAACGTTCGACCGACGTCGGCTGGTAACGCTCGACCGAGGCCACTGGTAACGCTCAACTGAAAACGGCCGGTGATAATCGACCGGGCGTTCGACCAAGACAGCCGATCTTGTTCAGCTGGTCTTGGTAATGCTCGAAACGGACTGACTGACTGGTTATATTCGACCAGGAATAACTGGTAATGATCGACCGGGACCAACTGGTAATACTCGTCCGATAACGACGACCATTACCGACCGGTAACTCTGTCCTGGGACCGGCCGGGCGGCAGCCGCACGTGCGGCGCCCTGTCAGGTCACACAGTCCCCAGTCCGGTGACAGCCGACAGGCCGACATGTCATGACACACGTGAGCACCACGTGGCATGGAGGAAAACTGGGACGGGCAGCGGGGCTGTCAGCCCGTCCCGTGCGATGTGGCCCGAGCCATAAATCCGTGGGAACTATGGAAATCGCTCCATCCTTGCATGTAGGCTTTTTAAACTATCATGGAGTTATATAGAGGTAAAAAATCTGTCGTTTCGCTGGTTGACGAGCATCAGTGGTGCTCACCGTACCTCGCCCCAGCTTAAACAGTTATTATTGTTGATGCCAATTGTTATCACCATATTAATAAACGTCGTGAAAATAACTTGTCAAGCTACTTTCATGGCGCTTTGCACAAACTACCCACCCGAAATAACGTGCAGCCATGTTTTATGATTGACGAAATATAGTATCTACCTTTAAGGTAATTGCACGCCTAAAACCCCAACAGACCGACCGATCAAACGTAGCGGTAAGCGCCTATATAGACTTACAAGCGGCATCGCCATTAGTACATGACGGCGACAGCCCAACACGTGCTAAATGCGTGTATCACCAATTGATATCAAACACGCAAGACCGCCCGCGCGTCCCTACAGCTCAAACTGGGCCAAATTCTTCGAAGCCATTAAATCAATGCGGTACCGAATACCTAACTGTATGTCGGGCCCAGGAATGACAAATCGTGTTTTAGGGCGGGACCAAAAAGACCACGGTGGCTAGCGTGTTGCGTGTTTCTTTGCACGACAGCGGACTTTCACGGCGGTAGTCTAGAAAGCAAGGACGGGTATCACACTATCATGATGCGCCTTTCACTGTCTGCAAAACACTTTTCCAAAGTGAATAACGAACTGATCGTGTATCATTGCAATCGAAACCGCGATGCTTCCTGAGACTAGGTAGTTACCCGGATAATTTGCCGGCCAAAACTACACAAGATCGCAGCCTCGGTGAGTCCAGCTGAACTTTCAAATGTCATCGCAAACAGTAATCAAATAGCTGAATGCGCATATCTTTTTAGCCCATTAGCTGGCTCGCGGGTACCATCATAACAAGTTTGTAATTTTGCTTATATTTACTTTACCAGCAGCTGCAACTTCAAGCGAAAATGCGATGCGAACTTTTTCATTACCGACGTTTATCAAGCTGTCCCTGAAACTAGACGGCAACTTCTCAAACTTCTTTTACGTAATTGCCGCAGGAGAGGAGTTCCACTAGCTAATTAGATGCGCCTCGTATGACGGTATGACTATTGAAACAAGACAAACTGGATTGAAACAAGACAAAACTGGAAAGGGTCTTAACTAATCAGCATACCATAACCCGTCCCAGTTCCTTAGGCTCGTTTAAAACCACTCAAATCCAGCTCCATTGTATCCTCTTTTCCTACTCCGATCGATACCCTGACTCAGCCATGGTGCTGATGTGCCGAGGGACCCTCCCAGTGGACCCTCTGAGGCCCCTGCGGACCCGTGGGCCCCACTGCACCCCAGGCCAGAGGGAAAACCGGCCACTGCGGGCAGGAACGGTTCGGCGCTCGGTCGAAAAATCGGCACGGAAGACGGCCGCGGTTCGGCGAACTAACCGCCAGCCAGACGAGGAAGAAGGGACAGGCGGAGCCGCACCTTAATTCAGCGATGACTCGCCACGTCCAGGCATGCCATTAATAGACGATCGGACTTGAAGAAAAATCAACATAACAGGACTATCGATATCGTTTCGAGAATACACCACTTGGCGCCGACTAAGAGAAATGTGTCATGTCACATCAGAACGCAATCTTAACTGGCACTCATCCCGTGTCGAACGCAAATCGACGAGCATTCATGTCACAGCGATGGAGCTGGGACACCACGGGAATGCTAATAAACTCCGACTCAATATCGCATCACTGCGTAAGGCGCTCCTAGAACTTCCCTACTACGCCCGCCAATAAAGTCGAGCCGGTGATTACCGGACGCAGTCGGTTCGCCAGAAGCACCCCGGTGGCCTTCATCGACTGGCAGTCAGCCGGCGCGCTGTGACGATAGGTAGCCACCACCCTGGCCAATACTCCCATCTGACGCAACCGACCCGTTCATTTCTCCGGTCCGGGCTACGGCCGGGCCTCCGGTCGCTGACCGCCGCTGGCTGTAACTATTGATCCCGAACAAAACCTGCTGACGACTGCTCCGAGACGAGCCCTCCATCCTATTCCGCGCCGCATTCAAGTGTTGAACACTCCCGATCGTCCCATCGGTGTGTGCCGATCGTCTCGCACGTCGTCGTCGGCGGAGGGGGTGGCCTCCCCCCCAGGGAGCCGCAGGGGCGGTGGAAATAGCCGCGGGCGCTGAGCCCAGATGACGTCACGGCATTCTCCCTCGGTCGGTCGGTCTGCGGGCCGCCCACGCCGCTCGGTGGCAACTGAGATCGCCCTCCCCGTTCTCCTGAGCGGGTGGACACCTCCGACTGACGATGGCCGGCGCCGAGCTGATAGCTCGGCCGATTGGGAGATGAGCCCGGTCATCCCAGCGCCGATCGCCGCGCGCCGTTTTGGCTCAGAGGTCAATAGCGCCCCTGTGTTGAGCTTGAGATCAACGAGCCGTTTTCCTACAGTGTCGTCTATTCGACCATCCGTTTTATGACGCCCACGAAAGGGAGAGGGGCGCAGAGTCGCCTCCCAGCGTCGAGTCAGAGCCCTTCTGTCTGCGGTACTATGGGGAATCGCGCGTTTCCGGCGTGCTGCTCGGGCGGAAGTCGAGTGTCGATTTCCGCCGGAAACCAACCAGCGGAAGTTACTTTTCCGAGATGACGTCCACCGGCCCTATCGGCGATCCATGATGATGACGCTATTCATCAGCTCTCCGATATGCAGGAAAGGACGCCAGAGTCTGCTCTATTACCATATTCCTCAGAGCATCACTTTGCAACAGGCCGTCCCGCTCGATCTCTCAAACATTGGCCAATCAGACCGGGGAAAGTCGCCCGCACGCTGTAGCCGTCAGATTGGACGAGACATCACCACAACTGTCTCGGAAAGCCCGCACCGTGGCAAGTTTCCTCAAACTTTACCTCCTGTATTATTTCCCAGTTGCAACGCTTCACAATGCCTTCACTTGCGCATCGCGTATCGCGACAGAGATCGACACGACGTCGCGTGGCGGCGCCACTCCCCCGATTATCCATCGTGCATGCAGGTAGGCATTATCCGTCGCGACGAATACCCAGTGCCCGGCGTCCATTGTGTTAGCACTTCATTCAGTTATCAAACATCGCTTTACGACCGGTTACCGCCAGGTGGTTTACCGTCGCCTCGCTGTTCCTCCCGGCGAGGCCGATTTCATCGACCCTGCCCGGCGAGGTGAGAGAGTGAAGGAGGATAAGCCCTCCTCCTCTGTCCAGCTGACAGTCCCGTGTGCCCAGAACGATCCTGATCCTGACGTGATGACGAGGGCAGGACGCGGTGCGCTATGATCGACCAGACTCGGCTCTCGTCCCGGACACGGTTTTTTGGTGCGGTGATTGGATCGCATCCGTGTCAATGCCACACGATACGGTCAGGATCGACGGCTGACCGGAGAGTCTTCAATAAACGCGCAACAGTTATAGCAGACTGAGAAACAGGCGACAATGCCAGGCACTAGAAACTCGTTTGAAAGAAGAGAGCAGCGCTGAGCGCAGGACGAATTTAGAAAAATAAGTGCATCATCAGGACGATCAAAAGAGAATCAAAGCCCGGTCACCCACGCCGATTGCTGACTTTACGCACTGCCACACCACTGAGCGTCGCAGCCGCTCAACTTCGATGAATTACAGACATGACGCGCGAGCGGCGCAAAACCTACCGCAAGAGGCCAACGCGAAATCCTGGAATTTCTGTGTTCGCTTTGCTAGGTCAGTGAGTCTCTGTTGCTTATCTGGGTCGCTTCAGTGCCCGTTCCGCTGCGCTATATCAGCCCATGTCCTGAAACGGCTCCTGACGAACGAAGGTCGCGCACGTCTTTTACTTCCAGCTGATCGGTCCGACCCGTCTCCAGCCTTGCCGGATACGGGCGCCGTCCGTGCTGGCTGAGTGACGTCACCGGGCGAGGGCGGGGCCAGCGGCCGGCTCGATACGCCGCGGGGCAGGTCGCCAGTCAAGGTCGGCCGCCGCTCAAGGTCGCCAGAGGCCGGCCGACGGACGCCCAGAGGACGCACCGGTGGAAAAGGTCGCCCGTCACACGCTGAAACCAGCGCGGCGCACAGTGCGGGGACAGCCGTCCAGTGGGGTTTTCTTTGACAGGATACGGTAGATGGATTTCTGTCCTGTCGCATTGAGGCGCGGCTGGTCCAAAAATACCTCGCTCGCTGGTGGCTTCCAATCATTCCGACAATCTCATGTAATCACTACTGCCTCCCGCCGTAAATTGAATTCTCTGATAAACCAGTGCCACAGCCTGGTAACTACAAAAAACCAATCTCTGTCGCTAACGCCATACTGGTTCACCGCGAATCTAACCGGCCTCGAGGCTTTGACAGGGGTGAAATGGCACCGGGCGGATGTGGACGGGATTCTCTCTGATCCGGCCCTCTCACTGGGGCAGAGCGGCGGCTTTACGGCTGCGTCAGAGCCATCGACGGCGCTCGGGGGGCTGGCCCCGGCTGGCGACTTCTTCGGCGCTCCGGGAGGCGGCCCTCCCACCGAGTCCCCCTCCCCTCCTCTGATCCCCACCGACGCCGGATTGCAGCGTTTATTGCTGGCTGATTGTGCGCCGCGCTGGTGGACGCTACTGATAGCGGCCAATGTTTTATGGTCGGTAGGTACTGTCGGCCCGACACGCGCACAGAACTGCCGAGATTTCAGCGGAGCGGGGGGGGGCGTCTCAAGTGGAGCAGTAGCGAGTAGGCGTGAAGGGCACGGTGTCACAGTAGCATAAGTGGAGGCCAGAAGCTTTGAAATAATCAGTTCACTCCGATACTGTTCTGAGAATAAATGCACGCCATTTACGGAATTGTAAAACAAAGCTGCAATTAAACTGCTTTACAGTCTAGCAGCCATTAGCTTTAGTGAGCGGCCTAAGCCCTCTTACTGACATTGTATGCTCAGAGCTCGGCTTAGAGGGCGACTTTCCTAAGTGTGCACAGCAGCTTTCATTATATAACTTGCCTGGTCGGCAACTGGGGAGACTTGCTCAGAATTTCATGTGCGGGGAATACTGAGTGGCCGTCCAACTACGCCGCGCGCCCGACCTTGACCCCAACGCCC